AGGTGTAAAATGCAGACGAATCAGGGCTTTTTTGGCGTGTGTTGCCTAACAAAACTTTCGTTTCTTGTAACGAAAAATCCGTACCTGGACGAAAAGTAAGCAAAAAGAGCGTGATGGTCATTGGTCATCTAATAAACCACGGGCATTCAAAAACATTGATTTACCTGTACACTATTACGGACAAAAAAGTGCATGGATGACAAAAGACCTTTTCAAAAAGGGGTTTGATGAATGCTTCGTACCTGAAGTTAGAAAATGGTTAAAATATCATAATTTTCCTCAAAAAGCGTTGTTGCTTCTTGATAACGCTCCCGGTCATCCGTCTGAAGAAGAACTAACATCTGAGGATAAATGCATCACTGCGATGTTTCTTCCGCCAAATTGCACTGCACTGATTCAACGAATGGACCAGAATATCATTCAGTTTGTCAAGCAAGACTATAAGAAAAACCTACTTCTAAGAGCCGTATCAAAAGACCAACCAATAGAAAAAACTTTAAAAGAATTTAATATGAAAGACTTGGTTTTTGCTCTTTGTCAGTCGTCGAATGCGTTACCGTCATCAACTATTAAATCGTCTTGAAGAAAGTTATGGCCACATATAGTCACCTAGCAACGTTCCACAAATCGGTGTAACTTCGGAAGTTATAGAACTGAAACACAGATAAGTCCGGAAGATTTGGAAATCTGGTGCCATGGAATGGATAAAGGGGAAAATGTTATTCATGAAATGTCTGACGAAGAGATTATAAAAGAGGTTTCTAATTATACAACAAACAATCAGGAAAATAACGACGACGTGATTGCAACTGCTCCACAAGTCACAGCACAAGACGCAATTAACGCCTTTGAGCTAGATTTACAATGGGCTGAAGAGAATGGTACATCCTACAACGAACTTTTACTTTTGAGAAGACTGAGGGACAAAGCTCTGATTTCGCGTTATAACAACCTTAAACAAAAAAAAAATTAATATTTCCAAGCTTCATAATTTGATAAATTCATTAATGATTTTGATTAATAATTCTTGATTATTTTGGTACATATGTATGTGCATTTATGCTTAATTTTATAATAAAACCTAAGCTCTCTATTGTTATTTAATTTACTTAATTCGACATACATAAACTATGTATGATTTGTACTTCAAAGTACATACATATACATAACATATATAATCTTACTATTGGATATGTAATTTGTCGGATTACAAGATACTCTTTTGTAAAAAATTCCGGACTATAGGGGGTCTTAGACAGTGCTCTATAATCCGACAAATTCGATAGTCCGACACTGCCCTGCATAATGGTTGTCGGATTACCGAAGGTCTACTGTACTTCCAAAATTAAAAAAACATTTACGTAAAAAAAAACTGTCAAATGATCAAGAGGTGATATCTACCGTATTCAGCAGCCGGACAAAATTTAAGGAAGATATTGAAATGCTAAGCACTAATTCTAAAAGTAGGTTGATATTAATTGGAATTATGTAGAAATACAAAAAATACAAATTGAATGTAGGTTTATTACAAGTAGGATAGGGGCGAAGAATGGGTATCAACACTCATACTAAAATTTTCTACAATAACTTACCCCATTACTCTTCCCACTATCATACAACTTCTTCAACTCTTCATACAGCCACATCTCCACAGCGAGTCTTTTTCTAATGAGACTCATTTGGTGGTGTCCATATTTGGCAGTGAGGAACTTTTCCCTTTTCTCCTTGATCTCTCCTTTTTCTTTGAAGGCCACATGGAGCCCCGTCCTTGCTGGGGATCGCTCCGCCCTGTGCCCAACGTCGGCCAAGATGCCTGTGGGGGTCGGGGAAGTCGCTGCCGTTACGCCACACTCCATTTTGTGCGATTGAGGGATCTGGAAGTCGAAAATAATAATTAAAACTATATCTTTAGAGCTTAAAAAACCTTCTAAAGAGGAAATGAAAATATTGATTTAGCAGACTTAGAGAGGCGTATGAAGGAGATCTCAGAGCTACAAATTCTATTAGTAGGTGTATATCGATAGAGGAGCCTGAGATGGAATATGTCGTAAACTACTTATAACATAAATCTACCGGGTATTTCAAGTTCGACCCTCACCATTGGGATCCGGAAACGGTAAGAGATACGAAGTCGCTTAAATGGGGACAAACTTGTCAACTCACAAAATACCGCTTAGGAAGTTTCGAAATTCGAAGTAGACAAGAGAGACAAAATCGATTTTGCATACGTCAAGAAAGTTACTATTCTGATTCAAAAAATATATAATCTTTCATACATTAGCATTGCCTTTCAAAAGAAAAAAAAACAGAATTTCCTAGGTAGGCCTTGAAATTATCAGATAGCCATTCGTTTCATATACTAGATTTATCCCAAAATCATTTTTACTTTTTTCTGACACTATTTGAGATGGGTTTCAAAATAAATTGCATATTGTTATGGCCCCTTTTTCTCCTCTACAAGATAGCGTAATTAAAATTTTCAATTCGAGGTTTCTTCTTTCTACTTCCATCACCATCACCAATATAGCGTTTATATGAAAGTTGGTGATGGAAAGCCAAAGAAGATATAATTGAAAATTTGACTACGCGAACTTGTACAGGAAAACACGTGACAATAACAACATGTAACTTTTTTTGAAATCCCATCTCAAATCAAATGAGGAAAAAATAAAAACGACTTTGCGATAAATCTGATAATTTCAAGGCCTATCTGTTTTTTGCCCTTACACTGTGTTTAAAAAGGGTAGAGGGTGAAATTATTATACATAGTCAAACGTTTCAATTTTTTCACCGCTGTAGGCGAACGGAATCAACGACGATGTAAGCAAATGTGAACCTAACACTGAGAAGCAATGGATTTCTGTATAATTTGAAGAAACAATTTCTGAATTCGGATGGGAATTAAAAAAGTTATGAAAGAAAGAAGGAAAATTTGTAGTAAAATGTTGATTTATCTCTAAAAGTTCAACCAGTGTGCATATTTTCATGAATAAAAATCATATAATAGAGAAAATGCTGTTCTTGATAATGAAAAGCATTGCGGACTAATTGGCAACTGAAATCAGATCGACTCAAAATTGGAGTAATGACACATCATTTTGATTTACCCTGTACAACAAGTCAAGGTGTAGCTACAATCAAGAAATGAGATGCAATTTGAAGCCAATAAGCGTACCTATCCGTCTGCTGAAAAAAAATGATAAAATCGAGTTAAAAATAAAAACGTTATGACATTCCGAATTCGAACAAAGTTTTGCTTGTTGCGTTTATTTTGAACCTGAGTATAGTTCTGCTACGATGGCAAATGCATGGGAAGTATGCCTGTCTATGATGCATAGGTTACATGCAGTATTAACAGAACTTTTTTAATAATGAACACTGATACCGAAGTTGCAAATTGACAATCTTCCACCCCCTATGATTTTCTGCCCTTCCTGATAATGAGCAGGAGTCTCTGAAAGTTTGTTTTTCGTTTGCTGCCCTTAGCTCCGCCGCGCTGGATTGATTTTCAAAACCTACTAACATTTTTCGTCATTGGCACAGCGACTTTGTGGCAAAATTTAATCAAAATCCGAGTGGTACTTTCCGAGTTATCGAGCTGTCAAGGATTAGAGATAGACAGAAAGGGAGACACATATATAGAGGGTGATTCAGAGAACAATGGCAGTATTTTTAGTGCATGAAGTAGATCAAAAAATAACACGGAAAATCCATGTAAATATATGGCCGGAAATGCCTTCGGTGTGTATTAAAATATTGACTCAACATTTTGTACATCTGGTAATAACATCATAGCCATTTCATAGAAAAATGTTCGTGCCTGAGACCACACCAATGGCGTTGAATAATACCTACAGAAAAAAAAAACAATGCTATTTCCTACGCTACTGACTTTTTTAAACATCTATTGTATTTTTGAATAAGGTATTGAATTTTTGTGATGTTACTCCTTTTTGAAAAAAATGGTTCGAATATATGTGGTAAAATCCGTATAAAAAACTTCTATCTATTCTACTTTGAAAATACGCTAATGTGACGTTGACATTAAAAATTGTATGTAGAGGTAGTCAGTTAGAAGAGTAATTCCATCCCACCAAAGCGATATTTGAACAATGCTCATGTTTTGTCCTTTTTCAGTCTCACCAAGGGCGTAGAAATTTACAACACCGTTTATCTTAGTTATATTCTATTACCTATGTTTACAGGGACCTTTTCGTCATTATGGATGTACTTTCTACTCTACAAATACTGCCAAATTTTCTAAAACACCATCGTATAGGTGGAAACAAAGCCCTTTTACATTCTGCCCATCAGAACCATAATAACTATGCTAAAAGAGCACACTCACAATGTTCTTCAAAGATATGTGGATTGGTATATCTGATAACTTATTCCTTGGCTATAATAGTGAATGGCTCATTGTCTAAGCCTGAGTAACATCTAGGGCAAAATTACAAGAGGCTCAACACTACAAATCACATACCCCAGATTTGTGACCGATGCAAGTTGTGGAGCTTTACGTTATAAATATGAGGATCTCGTGCAGGATAAAGTATACGAGTAATCTGATTGGTCATTCTGTAGGTCCCTTCAAGAGCGACAATGTGTTGATGGTTATTAGTTTCAAGTTGTTCACATCTGTTGTGTGCTTTGTTTATTTCCAAAAAGGCAGATCATAAAGAGGGTCGTAGGCCTTTTTGGGAGCGTCGACGGGGCGAGGACATCACTTATCAGGCAATCGGTGTCCCGGATATTTTTATTATTTCACGCATTTTAACGGTTTATGACAATTCAAAGTCATTCTTTGGTGTCACAAAAGCGTCTATCCACAGATGTCGAAGAACGCAGTAGTGAAAAGTAGGTAACAAAAACTTGTTTGGGGCATATTTGACTGTCCTATAGCGAGATAATAAAATTAGCAGCTCTCATTACGTGGGAGCACCCAATCAACCTACTTGATGGAATCTTTTACTTCTAAGAAACTCATATCTCTCTTCTAGGTCAAGCTGAAGACAATCACGGCCGTACACCCCAAGGTATCTGAGCATGTATGTTACATTACGACATTGTAATGTCAAAAGCAAGCACCACAATGTTTTCGTCACCATTACGGTGTTCCGAAAATCTTTATCAGTTATGAACACACGCACTGAAAGAAAAATTTAGGCCACACTTCTCATAGTTTCTAAAATGTGGTCGTACCGTGTGTCTTATGTCAAGGCCAACTGGCGTATATCTCACATAATGATAATGACAAATAAATATTTCCTGGGTTGGTGTTTCCGTTAAACGTTTCTGAAAGAGCACTGGTTTTCGTCAGAATTACGTTGTAGTGAAAATACCAGTGAAGTTAAGGATTGACTTCAAGACAAACATGGATTTGAATATAACATTTAGAACGAGGCTAGTAGCCCGAAATAATTATGGTTTAATTCGCCGACTATGCATTCCTGCAGGTACACATCTCTAATTCAGATTCTTGACAACCTCAAAGGTAGTAATTTTTAACCTAGATTTTAAGGTTTTAACTATAAAATGGTCAACCTAGGATCTTTCTTGTTCAGAATAATACTGGCCGAACGAAATTTGAGAAGGTTTCTGATCGATCAGAGTTTTTATAGTGTCTTGTTGGCATTTTCAATGTTTTAACTGTATAAATTTTTTTTATTGTTTTTTGTTTCATTTTACCGTTGTTTTACTGTTATGTTGTCCCTAGTTTTTAGTTTAATTAACATCAACGAGAAAATAAAGAATTTGAATTTGAGTCAGTCGACCCTCTTACTCAGAAACCAGAGTATACTTTTCTGAAGATTTTTGATGCGCTAAATTCGAATGCGTTGTGCAAATCTCTCAGTTGGCTCTAGCTTGCGACATATCCTAACCTCAGCTGCGTGGGAAGTAAAATGGAGAAAGCATGACTTTTCATTATTCTACGTTTCAATTTTTTTAAAGAATATGTACATATCAAGCTACAAAAAGCGTATAATAAAATTTTTGAGCACTTTATTCATAAGAACATCGCGTGATATTTTATATTCAACTTGCATAAGCCAATTGACAGTGCCGCCTTGATAAATATGTACTTAGGTAAACAATCAACGTAAATTTTTTGACTGAGTATGTGCCTTGTATATATTTTATTCATTTCATTAACATATGGATAACGACTTTTATAGTTATACTCAGAAACAAAATACATAAATGTATGTAGATATGTGCATGGTTATTTGATAGTGATGCAAATGTGACAGTACTGCAAATGCTCCTGGCCAACTTGCTACATTTAAATTAGAAAATCGGGGCCATATTTATTGGCAAAAACGAACACTTCTAATACATATGGGTCCTAAAATAGCTCCTTATGAGATACAGGGTGTTCAAGGTTTAATTTTAAGAAATATCTTCGGAGTCTGTTAAGATGTTGTCACAAAAATGGGAACATGTAGTACTAACAACGTGGCCAAGACGTACACATTTTTTTATGTCTGAAACGATATCAGTCGCGTAAAAATTGAGAAATTTAGACCCCTATAAAAGAAAAAAGAAAACTATTTTCTACGCCACTGCATTTTTAAAAAAGGTGTTCAATTTATACATGAATCGCCTCTATTGAGACACTTTCCTCAGGCTACTTCTTTTGAGAAAAAATTGGCAAGAATATTTCAGGTAACGTACTGCAATACCCTTGTAACTAGAAGTTTGAGTAACATTGAGACACCCTCGTAACATCGACGCTTAGGCAACCAATTACGTGTCCGCACGTTGAGAACGTTTGTCACGCATCGAGAAACATCGACCGCCACTACCAGCTTTGATCTGTCTAGAACGCTTATGGACTTGTCAATTCGAAGATAAATACACGCACAGCGGGCAGAGCGACTGATGAGCCAGCAGCAGCCGTAAATACCCTAGTCCAGTCGATATATTCATAAATTTGTAATATAAATTAGTCGCAATTGCTATAATATAGTAAGAGAAGTAATAAATTAGACTTTAAGTAGTAAAAACGGGGTTTTCGTTACAGTACCTATTTAAAACTTCAAAACGCTCTTTCAAAATACGCTGACGATAGTGAAGTTGTATTTTGGGAGTTAGCGGAGTAATCCTGTGTCACCATAGCGTCACTTGAACAATATTTACGTCATTATTATTCAGTCTCATCAGTGGCATATATAAATTTGCAATACCCTGTACCTTGGTACTGGGATATTCATGCTTATAGTATCTTTTTTATTATTATTGAATGTAATTTTTACTCTAGAAAGATTGACACGTTTTCCTGAATCCCGTTGTATAAACATAGGTTTGGCAATGTTTATCTTCATATCCGTCTTAATTGGCGATAGATGACACTTTCTTAACAGTCTAAAGCCTTTCTCACATCAACATGCGGTCTACTATATGGCTTTTTTCTACGGACTTTGATCCTGTGAGCTCTTTTGATGATGTCGCCACGTTCTAGGCCTGTTAGATGGTCCTGCCGAGTTTTTGCTTCTTATTCTAACTTAAGAACTGGCCGGTACGACCGTTTCTTCGTCCGTTGGATATCAATAATGAGAAACAATCCACCAGAAGACGCTTTTAACAGTTTCAGCTAACATTAAGCAGTTCAAAAAATAGGATCAATAAGATGCCTTTCTACCAGTCGCAGTACCTCGTTATTTAGGTGCTGTCCTCCCGGTTAATCCAGTATAAAAAAGTTATCTAGGCAATTTCCCATTTCCACGTCACTGAAGCGCATCAAGGGGGGTCACCGACCTCATTATATTCGGCTTAACACACATCTATCTGCCTTTTAAATCATTTCTATGTTCACCAACCGCGAGCTCCTCGTTTTAAAAATAAATTCATTTACGTTGAAAACGTTCCTTTTGCTCCGCTTTTATTTCCAAAAGTGAAAATGCGGAATCTGGCTACGTTAACAGCTGCTAATGCTCAAATAAGAAAAAGGAGTTACTATTTATCTACTACGTAAAGGAGACAGTGACGTACTCCCGTCATCTCCAAACGAGCTTACTTATGCTGTCATCCTTGTATACGCGAGCTCAAAAATGGCGTCAAGTAGGTTGATTCTGCACTTCCTACGCAGCATATAGCCTCGCGGACTTTTTTGTGAATCATGACGACTACTATACTTTATGTAACATCAACAGGTTTTGCGGCGTACGTCAAATCATGACCTTTTATAGGCAAATTTTTATCTTGGGTAAGAATTACCTAAACTTTTCTCATCAATCCCTCTATCCACTGGTGAAAACCGTGTAAGACTTCGTTGGGTAGTTTTTGAGTTTATCGTTCTCAGACAGACGAGGTAGGGAACTTGATAATATGCAGTGCTTCTCGTTGACCTGGACGCGGTCAGGATTGAAATATTTCATCATTTTAGGTCTTAAGGGCAAATTTGGGAAGAAATCTATGGATGAAATATGTCTAATAGGTGCGTAGAATTAATAATAATCATAATGATAATAATAATAATCTTTATTGATGTTGGGCATGCAAAAGCACTCACATACGTAAAAAAAGAAAATCTTACAGTGCACAAAAAAGTACACACTCAGCATTAATACTGAATTAAACAAACCAGACACTAGTTTAATCATATTAGCAAATTTCCCCGAAATAATTGTAGAGTCGGATTTTATTGATGCAAGCTGTTCAAGGGGGTATTTTAAACATGGACGCATAAAATGGGTAAACTAAAACTTTTTATTCGACAACAAAGAATGAGTAAACGTGTTTTTTGGGATTCAAATGAAACTGTTGACAGGAACGAAAAAGCTGTTCAAATAAGATTTTTAGGTATTTATGAAACCTACAAAATGAGACTACACGTAAAAAGATCCGACTAATACTAAAAAACTTATCGCCAAAAACCAAGGTTTTGGCACTTTTTGCTAATGCGAGGATAATTTAACGCAGCTACTTCAAATTCCTCAAATCCAAATACTTTTAAAGAACCACAACAAAATTGAATGGTCAAGTATTTTTTGATAATTTCTAATTGTTTATCCTAAAACACCTGTCTTCCGGCCTTCACTAGTAGTTTATTGGGCAATATACAGGGTTCGATCAAAGGGCGTTTTATAGCAAAATACATGAATTTACCTTGCCGACGTGAATCACAAACCATTCCGAAAGATAATTGTTATTTTTATGCGAAAAACGAAGGGTTGTGTATTTTTATTCTAATCAAATTCAAACATTGCGTATATGTAACTGAGCAATCACTGAACATAATCGGCTCCAATTTTGTTGTGGTTATTTAGAAGTATGAAGGCTACGGATTTGAAGAATTTCAAGTAGCTGCGTGAAATTATTGTCGCATTAGCAACGAGTGCCAAAACCTACATTTTGCCTCGGTTTTCGGCCATACCTTTTTTACTATAAATGGTATATTTTTACGTGTAGTCTCATTTGGTAGATCTCATAAATACTTAAAAATCTTATTTGAACGGTTTTTTTGTTCCTGTCAATGCTGTCGATTGAATCCCAAAAACGGGTATTCTCATGCTTTGTTGTCAAATAAAAAGATTTCTCACAAAAATTGGTGTACACATTTTATGCAACCATGTTTTAGATACCTTCTTGAATAACGTGCATCAATAAATCCAGGCTTTACAATTATTTCGAAAACCAGAGGTATTTTCGTCTAATATAATTAGACTACACATTCAAAAATAAGTTCGAATCACACGTAATTACACTAAAATATATAAAAAAGAAAAAAATATAATCATTATATGTCACTGAAGTCATTGAGTAGAAAGTTATCAATACTATAAAAATCTTTCCGCTTCAGATATGATGACATTGTGGCTTGAACGATGCAATATTCAAAAGTCTATCAGACCCAGAAAGAGTATTAAAGAACTTGATACCGTCATAGTTATGGCGATCACTGGAATTACGGGGATTAGAAACCTGTAAATATACTGACCCCAAAAAATTTAGATGTTCCCTACCCGACCCCCTACAACGCCCAACCCCCAATTTTTACCACCCACAAAATTGTTCTGAAAATGATCAGACGCCTCTGAAAATTCAA